TATATATATAATGATTTTATTGTTTAAGAACTACATTATTATTTACTTCCTCAGAGATGCAAAATTTATCTTATTTATTTAAGAAGCTCCATGTCTATTATAATATTTTTATTCAAAAAGTTATAATGCAGTTTTTAAGTAGTCACTGCACATTAGATCAGATTGCAAAACACAACTTTTCACAACATATTTTTAAGAAAGAAGACAATTTATTTTTCCAAATTGCGTAGGCCGTGTAGTGCGGACAACACCACATCTCTATCACCGCCCCTAATGGACGTTAGTGTCGATGAATAGCTCAATAGATATTTATATAAGACTAATTTATATTTTTTTCATTTAAATAATTGAATAAATTTGAATATTATTAATTTAAAAGCATATTAATAATTAAATAAATGAATTAATTTGCACACCACATGTTTATTTATTTATTTAAATTAATTAAATAATTGAATTTTTAATATCAATTATATAATTAATTAGGCCCGTTTAATTAAATAAATAAATAAATTTAAACAATAATATATATGATTCATTTACTAGAAAGGTTAAATTTTTCATAATATAATTGAAGATAAAACCTATGCTTCTTTTATTAAATTTACTCTCGAATTAAGTGATTAAGATTATGCGTATGTTGCCTATAATTTTCTTATTATCATATTAAATTTCTATGGCTATTACTTGTGCGTTGTTGAATATAAAAATTAAAAAAAACCATTATTTTAATAGTTAATATATTTAGAAAAATATTTAATTTCTTCTATGAAGCATATGCTTGAAGATTTTTATACTAATAATTTTAATTTAGTTATATCTTCAGAAAAAAAAATAAATAATAGAAAAAAATTAAGAAACAACAAAAATACTAATTAATTTAATTTTTAATTAATTTTTAAAAATCTATCAATTTGAATGTAAACGGCTCTATTTTTCCTAATCGAATTAGGTGCCAATCGTCGATAAATAGAATAAAAAGGTAAAATATTTTAGATAATATATTTACTGTGAACTTTCTTGTCCTCCTTTCATTTCAACAAACCTGAGCACGGTACGCATAATAGTTATTTGGGTCAAAAATCATATTAATTTTGAGTCAAGTTCGGATTGACAAATTAGATTTTGGTCAATTTTGAGTTGACTGATCATTTTTAAGACAAATTTAGGTCGGAGGATCAACCAAATAGGAAAAAATTAAAATATTGCTGGACCTGAACCTAAATCTGAATCTTTGAAGTCGGGTTCAGATACGTTATCGAGAGATAGTCACGAGTTTGGAGATAGTAATAAGACAGCACAGACGCACCGTGTCCAACGTTGTGGTGCGATCCACGTTGTCAATCACACGTTCAGATATTTTCTCTATAACAATATATATATCTCTCTCTTCCTCCCTCCTGTAAATCCAAGATTATCTTAATGGCAAACGTATAAAATGAAAATGATAAATTACAAATTATCAATAATTTAAGGCCATAAAATTTCAACGGCCCAAATGTGCCGAAAGATGCCCTAGAATCTTCGTTATCGACACCGTGACTTCCTTTAATACCCTGGCAGCTACTCATCCATTTTATAACTCCTTATTGCTTCCATCTTCTTCCCCAATCCAAGCAATCTGCTCGCCCGCCTAATCCATCGAAGATGACTGCCTTCATCGGAAAGTACAAAGGTATATCGACGGATCCGTTTTATATTTTGTTTTCAATTGTTTCATTAGGTGCGTTGCCATTCTGGTTCGTGAATCGGATCTGGTTTTATGGATTCCGAAGCTTACATCATTATCGTTGTTTCTTTTTTCATTGAATGGTGTTTGACGTTTCTTGCGGAGAAGCTTTAAAGAGTTGTGTTATAGATTTCTGATCATTGATCTTAATTTTCATAATGGTCCGAACTTATCAGTGTCAAATTGGTAGACTGGATCTTATGATGATTGTTGGAGACGATTGTGATTGTTGACGTTGGAGCGCATATTATCCGTTAATTTGTTGAACAATTGTATGTTTATTTATGGGGTTTCGAGTTTGTGCGGGTAAGATCTGGATCTTGTGTGCAGTCGGATCAATGAACGACTTGTTTGATTGGTGAACGGCTGCACGAAATACTTCATTATGGCCAATCTGGTCAGGATCTTTTAATTCTCATAGCTGTGTGAATTTAGCTTGAGTTGTTATTAGGGCTTCAAATGAATTGAACATTCGACAAGCTACTCGTAGGTCGGCTCGATTAAGAACTCATTTGCAATGGTTTAATTAAGTAGTTGAACAGAATTGAACACCTTTTTAAATACTTTATTAAATGAACAAGTTTAAATACAATATTGATCGACTCGTTTATGATCATGAATGAAATTATTTAAAGCTTATGAACAAACTTATTAAGGTAATCGATTAAAGCTTGATATTGGCTCATAAATTATAACTAATTACATAATTTAATTTAAAGAAACTTTAATTAAAATCTTATTTGAAATTTAATTACTTTTTTGTATGTTATTAACTAAAAACTAAATAACAAAACCAAATAAAAAAATAAATTCCACTGAAGGGAGCTCTCAGATTTTCTTATATTTGTGTTTAGTCCCTTTTTAACTGGAAAATTTTATTCCTTGTGCGTAAATGTAAGGAGGAAGCTCCACCGGTTGAGCTATTTGCCCATGTGGGGATATTATAGGCTGTTCGGTTGGCTTGTTTAGGTTGGATTTTAAGTTATGTTTAAAGGTTTTTAAAATAAAAAAAGTTAATATTTAAACATTGTATGATTTTTGGCTTATTATATTTAAATTAAATTTATATTACCTAGACTTGTTAAGCCCATGTAAGTTTTTAAATTGAATTCATTATTCATCCATTTGTTTAATAAGATTGGCTCGATCTGGCTAAATGACCTACACAGATTGTTGGTTTTCTACTAATTTTTTGTAGCAAGCTCTTATATCTTCTTGTGCTTATTTGATCTATTTATATTCAAGTGCTAGCCTATTTAGCATCTAAAGCACTTCTTGTGTTTTGTGCCTTGCTGTATGGTTTAGTTTAATTTACCATTGAGCATAGCAACTCTTAGTAGTGAGCACCTTCTAGTTTTTTAGGGTAACTATTTCACTATTTTGCTTTCAAACTGATGCCATATATTTATTTTGCTATTGCTTTTTTGTCAGTTTTCATAAATTGCCATGGTGAGAAGTTATTTTCAGCGTTCAAATCTCTTAAAAGTATAGTAGCTGCATGAAAGGTGTTCAACTTTTTCAAAAAGGAAAATATGCATGGTAATTGTAAGAACTTAAAAAAGTTGTTTTCCTAACAATAGTATTGAGCCTTTTTTTGTCCATTTTGCGAGGTAGGCATTTGAAGGAAGCCTTACAACAAGAAAAAATACCTAAGTTTTTAACCCACTTAGTGGTGTCGGCTACATGAATCTTTTTTCTCCATTGTATTTTATTAAGTGTCATATTTTCATTTAATTCTAAAAAGTGAAGATTTTTTTTTTATACAACATGCCCAAGTCTTTTTTGGTCTATCTCTACCTTTTTTTAACATATGACACATCTAGAACACATACTCTTCTAATTGGGTCATTAGATTGCCGATTTTTAATGTGACCAAATCATCTACCATGACTCTCTTTAATCTTGTTTGCCATTAGGGCACTCTAACCCTTTCACGGATATATTTGTTTCACATTTTGTCTCTAAGTGTAAAGTCCCTCATCCACATGAGCATTCTCATCCCAGTAGCACTTAACTTAATTTTATGATTTTTTTATAGGTTAACATTCTACGCCTTAAGTCATTGCAGGTTTCACCACCATCTTATTGAATTTCCTTAAAGTTTAAGCAGTACTTTTTTAATCACATAATAGACCCAATGCATTCCAACACTTGAACCATCCAACCTCACTTCTACTAATAAAATCCTCATCTATACACCATCACTTTGAACATTATTTTTGAGATATCTAAAATGTTCGGTCCCTTTAATAATTTGATCACCCATAGTTACAACCCCACTACTAGATCTGTTTTTAGACTCTGAAGTTGACATTCATAATTCAAGTTTCTCTTGAACTTCTCTAGTCTTATCCACAAGAAGGATATCATCAGCGAAAAACATACACCAAGGTATTTCCTCCTATAAATGTCACTAAGAGCGAGCATCTATAACTTAGTAAAATGTTATGGCCTTAAAGCCGATCTCTGATGTTATCCAACTAAAATAGAAAAATACTTTGTCAATCATTCTTGTGTTTTAACACAAGTAGCAACTCTAGTATATATATCTTTAATGACTTAATATAAATAATATCAACATCTTTCTTTTCTAGAACTCTGCAAAATAATTCTCTTGGAATCATATCATAAATATTTTTAAATCAACAAAAACTTTATGTATGTCCCCCTTGCTCTCTCTATATGTCCCCTTTGGATAAATGTATAGTTTTCATGGTAGACTTCTCCAACATGAATCTAAATTAATTTTGAAAATTTTTTAACTCTCGTTGTAAACCATTTTAAATTACCATTTTCCATAATTTTAATGTATAACAAATTAATTTAATTTCTCTATAATTTACACTCTTTTGCATTCCCTTTATTTTTAAAAATAGGAACCAGTAGATCCTTTCTCCACTCATCATTCATCCTTTTAGTCTTAAAATAATATTAGAAAGGTTAGTAAGTCAAGAAATTATTAGATCTATTATGCATTTTCACACTTATCGAAATATCATTAGGATCTACTGTTTTTTCAAACTTTACAATAGAAATAAAAAGGTTTGTTATGATTTAAGATATTAATATGACTAAAGTTGATTGTATTTTCACACTATTGAAAAGTTTATGAAAATATCTCACCTTACAATCAACTTAGGAATTGGATGGTATGCATGTGAATGGCCCCTCCATTTTTCGTTGTCATCTTCCTATCTTTTACTTTTACCATTATCTTGCTCTGGAAGTAAGCATGCAAAATAAGCTGCTTTAGATTGCCAAGTTTGCCAGAACTTCAAGATAATTAGAAGCGGTATAGTGCGGGCTTATATGATCCATTAATTGTAAAACTGATTGAAGGGTGTATGTAGGATAATGGCTATTTTGCTTTTAGCATAACCATTGCCAAGTTTTAGCGCTTGTTTGGATAATGGCCACTAGACCTGCATGAATAAAAGGGCATTTACGCACATACCACCCAATTCACATGTATTTACATATCTAACACCTATACTTTTCTTCTTACATTTATACCATCCAAATCTTTCATATCACTAGAAAAATACCGCTTTTTTAACTTTTAAAAGTGAAATAAACTTTTTCATATGTGAAAATTAAAGTTTGGGTATAGATATAAATACATAAGAATTGAGTGGTATGCATGTAAATCTTCCAATAAAAAAAGGAAGCTATTTAGAGAAACAAAGTATTAGAACTAAATTTAACAGCAATAAAGAAACAAGTTATTCCATGATAGCCCATGTTAGCTATGGTATTCCCCTCAAGAGGCTATGTTTAAAATTTTACATGATCTCACAGCAACTACATGCTAAAAATAGTGAACTAGAAAGACCAAATGGGATTCATGAATACAGGATATGCTGATATTGCTATTTTGAATCTCAAATCTTACAATAAATGTTGACTCTTTTATCTGTTCATTAGCTGCCATTGTTGTCGCTTGAAATTCAGTAGAAACATTGTTCTCAACAACATCCACCGTGCTTAAATTTCTAATTTACACCGCCTCTTTTTCCTAATAAACTGAGCACCAAACCAATATTTTCCATTACAGATGAGCTCATCGCCAACGCTGCCTACATCGGTACTCCCGGCAAGGGTATCCTTGCCGCCGACGAGTCTACCGGTACCATTGGCAAGCGGCTTTCAAGCATCAACGTCGAGAATGTCGAGGCAAACCGCCAGGCTCTTCGTGAGCTCCTCTTCTGTGCTCCCGGCGCCCTTCAATACCTTAGCGGGGTAATCCTATTCGAGGAAACCCTCTATCAGAAAACCGCCGACGGAAAGCCGTTTGTTGAAGTTCTAAAAGCCGGCGGCGTTCTCCCCGGCATAAAGGTGGACAAGGGCACCGTCGAGCTTGCAGGCACCAAAGGCGAAACCACCACACAAGGCCTCGATGATCTTGGCAAGCGATGCGCCAAGTACTACGAAGCCGGCGCCCGCTTTGCGAAGTGGCGCGCCGTCCTCAAAATTGGTCCCAACGAGCCTTCGCAGCTCGCCATCAACGAGAATGCGAACGGACTCGCTCGTTATGCCATCATCTCTCAGGAGAATGGGTTGGTTCCCATTGTTGAGCCGGAGATCCTCGTTGATGGGCCGCACGACATCGATCGTTGCGCCGAAGTGTCAGAACGGGTGCTTGCGGCTTGCTACAAGGCGCTTAATGATCACCATGTTCTCTTGGAAGGTTCACTCCTGAAGCCGAATATGGTGACTCCGGGCTCAGATTCGGCTAAGGTGGCCCCTGAGGTTATTGCGGAGTACACCGTGCGAACTCTATTGAGGACTGTTCCGGCGGCCGTGCCGGCCATTGTTTTCCTCTCCGGCGGGCAGAGCGAGGAGGAGGCGACGCTTAACCTCAATGCAATGAACAAGCTGAAGGGGAAGAAGCCGTGGTCACTTTCATTCTCGTTTGGTCGTGCATTGCAGCAGAGCACGCTGAAGGCATGGGCTGGGAAGGAAGGGAATGTGGACAAGGCGCGGGCGGCCTTTCTCTCGAGGTGCAAGGCGAACTCGGAAGCAACGCTCGGGAAATATGGCGGCGGTGCTGCGCTCGGAGATGGGGCCACGGTGAGTCTTCATGAGAAGGATTACAAGTATTGATTATGAAGGTTTGTTGTGGTACTCGAGTAATGTTTGGAAAAAGGGGAATGAGGATTTTTGTGTCTTGTGTGTGATTTTATGAGAACTTTTATATGTTTGATTGGGTGCTGTGTTGGTATGAGCTTTTAGACTTTGCTTCAAATAATTGTCTCCTTTAAGCCACCCTATATTTTGGTATTTGGTTGGTTATATTTCAATGTTTTGCCATAATGAAGGTTATATTGTTGTTTTATGCTTTAAGTTCTCTGTTGTGCAAGTTTTTGACTTAATTTGTCTTATAACGTGTTTATATATATATATATATATATATATAATATATATATATATATACTATATATATATATATATATGGTATGTATGTAAATCATGAAGGGGTTAATTATGTGTGCAAAATCCAAAATATGCATAAATTTTAGGAAAATTTACATGTATATCACAAAAAAATTATGTATTTACATTTCTAACACTTAAAATTTGATATTTAAATCAATAATATTTTAATATCATAAATTTATGTATGGAAAAATATATCTTATTCTAAAAGAGTTAATAATATTGATATTTTTGATGTAATATTAAAGATCTCAGTGATGCATGTAAATATGAAAATTTAAATGTTAGACAAGTAAACAGGCAATAATTGTATGGGATGCACGTAAATGTCACATTTAAATGGGTTATATATTGTCTAACTTCTTAATATTTTGTATCAATTTATATTATTATTACTTTCTATACTTTATTATACATAATTAAGCCACCCACAAAGAACTTCATTTATATAGTTTTCACTCTAATTGTCCCTAGGATAGTAACACAAGTTAGTGGCATATCTAATAAGATGGGGCCATTTACAACAATTACCCAATTCCTATATATTTACATATCCTGCTCTTCCTAAATTCTTTGAAGATCTGCAAAATATTTCTTTTCATTTTAGACCCAATAAGCTCATGTTTTGCAGTAAAAGTATTTTTATAGACACTACTAATAACCACATAATAACAATAATAATGATAACCATATAGTTAATAGTTACCAGTTTATCACCAAAATTCCATATTCATAAAACAGCACCTGAAGCCTCGAAACATTTTACTTCAAAGTAGTGAAAAAAATGTCATAATGTACAATTGTGTAGCTCTCTTAAGTTGGCTTACATGTACTACACTACTAATAGCCACAGAAAGATCATATATCAAACCAAAATATAGTACACAAAATTGAAAATTCACTAGAAAACTTAATATGTATAAGAAGAAAATAATAATAATAATAATAATAATAATAGAATTAAAAAATTTTACATAGAATTTTCCTCTCCTACACCAAACCAACCCATGGAATCCTTATTCCTCCATTAAAACTAAGCTTGCTGTTGCAAGTGGTTTCTCTCATCTACCTCTTCTGAAAATTCAAAAACTTGATAGAATATGCGAAAACAAAGGTGAAGACAAAGACGAAGGCCACGTGAACTACAGCCACAATGCCTAAAAAATCATGCTCATATCCTAACTTTAGCTTCAGAAAAGTTTTCACATCAACACTCGGCTCTCCCGGTATCTCTACACCATTATCTAACTCTCCCAGCTGCGAAGCAAGCACACCGTATATCGTCCACGACACCGGATTAGCCCAATACATCCACCTCCACCACACAGGCATCATCTTTAATGTAAAATGAAAGTTACAAATGCATCAATAATTGAAAGTAGGAACAGAATGTAATATTAGATTGATGAAACTACGCACCTTTCTCGGCATGACGAAGCCGCAGAATAAGTTCCAGAAGCTGTAGAAGAAGGAAGATACAATGCCGGCAATTTGGTAGCTCGGAGTTAAGGCTACGACCATCATGCCGTATAATGTGAAGTAGATGAAGCACATGAAGATGAGGAAGAAGAACCAGAAGAACTTGGCTGCGCTCCATCCAAAATCTATCATTGAGAAGAGGAGAAGTGTATAAACAAAGCTCTGGACGGCGATGTAGATTGCTTCGATGCTCACCTGCAAAGACAGGATGAGGTTATGGATTCCTGTTTATCTATCTTTCAAGAGTTATAAGAACGGTGATAAATATAAATACCACTCACAATTTCAAGTCATATTACTTCAGTTTATTCATCTTGTTTATGGGAAGATTGCCATATGTACCACGCAAGTGTTTGCACTTCTAATACCCACTTTATTTTTCACACACACACACACACACACATATATATGACACGTTGCCTATGGATGAAATAAAAGTTAAAATAGTGATATTTTTTATGTGATATGAAGAGTTTGGGTGGTATAAATGTGAAATGTCAAATTTAGGAGTCAGATATGTAAAACTATTCACGATTTCAAACATATTACTTCAACATATTCATTCTGTTTATTCTATATTTCTTTTATATTAGTCTTATTTAGCTTCATTATTACCCGCGCCGAAAAACTCGAATAGGGGTAAAGATGATTATGATGATCATGACAACACCAATCCCTTGGTGCATTTTAGTCTACATAGTTCCAAAAAAAACATGATTGGCTTCCATAAAAAATTTTGAACTCTCCATTTTACTCAGGGGAGGAAGCAAATATGGTAATGTCATAATTATTGAAAGCTTCTTGTTTCCTTTTTGTCATATACTGCTCCCCCAACTCAACATAAATAAAAAAAGAGAAAGAAAAGGAAAGAAAAGATAATGCTTACTTCATAATAGGAAGATTTACATGCATACCACTTCATTCCTATGTATTTACAAATCTAACACCTGAACTTCAATTTTTATATATATGTCAACTTACCAATGCATGAAAAGGTGTATTTCAATTTTTAGAAGTTAAAATACTGGTATATTTTATGTGATATGAAAAATTTGTGCTGTACAAATATAAAAAGTAAAATTTTAGAGTTAGATATGTAAATTTATAGGAATCGGGTAGTATGTATGTAAATGTGCCTTTATAGTATATTGCACTGTTCCTAGCATATATTCAATTAAGAAATTACATGAAATAACTGGTGAAAGTTAGATTGTAGCAGTATATTACTTGAGCAAATGCATATGCCAAGGATGAGTACATGCCAGCAGCCCTTTCGCGATAAAATACCGTTCTCTCAATTGCTACGACGGGTTGCACAGTGTTAGCATTGGTAGCTCCAAGGAAGAAAACAGCAGCATAAATTACACCCATTAGATTTAACAGGTCCTGTTGCATGGTTCTGTTTGACAAGAAAAGTGGTGCTCTTTCGTGAGTTCGCCATATATACATAAAGGATGATATCTTGAAATGATAACACAATTGGAAAGAAGATGCTAGAGAAATTTTGATTCACAAGCTGATGCAAGTTATGTAATTATTATAATTGTTTTAGGTTCAATCTAATTGTTAAATGCCGACCAGAGCAATCAATTAAAAATTCAGATTGCAAAGAACAGTTGAAAACTAAGGGACCATTTGGGATTACACTTGCTTTTATTTTTTACATCATTTTGTTGATGTTTTAATGGAAATAAAATATGTTCAGCATTTCATAGCTATGTTGTTTTATTTTTAATGAACATCAAATAATTTGATTTATTCTATAGTGGTGGCAGTCGTCAGCAAGTCAACGATGGTGGCTGATGAGGCGATGACAAAGGCAACAAAGTGATATGAGCATAAAAAATGAAGGCATTTGGATGCTGCACGCCAGCTAATGTAAATTACACAAAGGTAGGAACCTAGTTCTTTCTTTATTAATTTATATAGGTTTTTGCCATTTCTTTATTTCGGGAGTTCATTCTACTTATCAGATGAGGATAAAGAAGATATAATAGAAAGAAAAAAAAAAAATCAAAGAGTAGTTTCACAAAATAGGAAGATTTACATACCATTCAATTCCTATGTATTTACGTATCTAACAACTAAACTTGCAATTTTACATGCATACCACTTTACCTGCATTAAAAGATGTTTTTCACTTTTCAAAAGTCAAAATGGAGGTATTTTTGATGTGTTGTGAAAGATTTTGGTGGTATAGATGTAAAAGACAAAGGCCCTGTTTGGCACAGCTTTTTCATCGACGGTGGCGTTTTCAGAACGCCGCCTACCCGTTTGTTTCGAGCGTTCGTTCGGCGGCGTTCTGAACGCTGCGTCCCGCGGTTCGGTTTTTCTTCATTATGCGGATCGCGGGGCGCCTCCTGCGTTCGGCGTTGGCTGTTGGCGTTAGGGCTGCAATTCCTTCTTTTGCCCTTGGTGATCTCCCTCGCGCTCTCCCCTCGCTTCCTCCCTCTCCGAACGAAAGCATCATTAGGGCTCGATTTCTCGTTCTTTTTCCCTCTCCGGTAAGATCTGGATTCGTGAGTTTTATGGATCGATGAATTTTTTTTGGTTCTTCTACATGTACCTGCTTCTATTGCTTCGGATCTCTGAGTTTTGCGAGTGATTGTTTGGTAGTTAACATATTCTTCTAAAACTTCTCTTGATTTGGCATCTGTCTCACAAAGAACTTCCATTACTGGGAAACGTCTTACAAAAAAATTGTTTACATTATCCGTTGCATCTCTATTGAATGCTACAATATGGATTTGGGAAAGGAGTATCTTTATTACATGCTACAATTCGGCCATTCTTTTCTTCATCTCTACCCGATTTCTGTTGGTTCAAATCAGATTATGCATATGACCTTGACATTATGGATTATGCATATCACATTGCAAGCATGACATATGGTAACATCAAATTATTGCTTAGTCGTCTATACATATGATTAGTCAAAAAACTATTGCTTCTGAAATATGAAAATAGTAAGATTACTCATATCACCAGGCAAAATATCATTAGAGAAGCAATTGCCAGAACATTTCTCCATATCGAAGATGTTTCAAATTTTTAAAAACCTGAGACAATTTTTCTGATATGGGGAATGTATGAACAACAAACGAATGCTTCTAGATGCCTTTGAAATTTCAGCAAATATGTAAAGAATCAAGTGGTATGTATGTAGATATTCAAATTTCTGTAACAAGTGTATGACCATATAATATCATCCATATGTTCTCCTCAAAATCTGAGACACAATGCTCAATAGAATTATTCCAAATGGTTTCAGTGAATGGCATTAAATTCAGCAAGTGAATTGTTTTCAGCCAATAACTATGTTTTCAGCCAATAACTCTGTTATATGGATCTTGCTTGCCTCTTACTGCTAGCCACTTCATTATTAATTGACACTAGTCACACATCTTGGCATTCAAATGAGATTTACAGTGAAATTTCTCCATATCTAAGATGTTTCAAATTTTTAAAAACCTGAGACATTTTTTCTGATATGGGGAATGTATGAACAACAAACGAATGCTTCTAGATGCCTTTGAAATTTCAGCAAATATGTAAAGAATCAAGTGGTATGTATGTAGATATTCAAATTTCTGTAACAAGTGTATGACCATATAATATCATCCATATGTTCTCCTCAAAATCTGAGACACAATGCTCATTAGAATTATTCCAAATGGTTTCAGTTAATGGCATTAAATTCAGCAAGAGAATTGATTTCAGCCAATAACTATGTTTTCAGCCAATAACTCTGTTATATGGATCTTGCTTGCCTCTTACTGCTAGCCACTTCATTATTAATTGACACTAGTCACATATCTTGGCATTCAAATGAGATTTACAGTGAAATTTCTCCATATCTAAGATGTTTCAAATTTTTAAAAACCTGATACATATTTTCTGAAATGGGGAATGTATGAACAACAAACGAATGCTTCTTGATGCCTTTGAAATTTCAGCAAATATGTAAAGAATCAAGTGGTATGTATGTAGATATTCAAATTTCTGTAACAAGTGTATGACCATATAATATCATCCATATGTTCTCCTCAAAATCTGAGACACAATGCTCATTAGAATTATTCCAAATGGTTTCAGTTAATGGCATTAAATTCAGCAAGTGAATTGATTTCAGCCAATAACTATGTTTTCAGCCAATAACTCTGTTATATGGATCTTGCTTGCCTCTTACTGCTAGCCACTTCATTATTAATTGACACTAGTCACATATCTTGGCATTCAAATGAGATTTACAGTGAAATTTCTCCATATCGAAGATGTTTCAAATTTTTAAAAAATCTGAGACATTTTTTCTGATATGGGGAATGTATGAACAACAAACGAATGCTTCTACATGCCTTTGAAGTTTCAGCAAATATGTAAAGAATCAAGTGGTATGTATGTAGATATTCAAATTTCTGTAACAAGTGTATGACCATATAATATCATCCATATGTTCTCCTCAAAATCTGAGACACAATGCTCATTAGAATTATTCCAAATGGTTTCAGTTAATGGCATTAAATTCAGCAAGTGAATTGATTTCAGCCAATAACTATGTTTTCAGCCAATAACTCTGTTATATGGATCTTGCTTGCCTCTTACTGCTAGCCACTTCATTATTAATTGACACTAGTCACATATCTTGGCATTCAAATGAGATTTACAGTGACATTTCTCCATATCGAAGATGTTTCAAATTTTTAAAAAATCTGAGACATTTTTTCTGATATGGGGAATGTATGAACAACAAACGAATGCTTCTACATGCCTTTGAAGTTTCAGCAAATATGTAAAGAATCAAGTGGTATGTATGTAAATATTCAAATTTCTGTAACAAGTGGTATAGCAGTTTTCATGTTTCTGGAACACCTCATTTCCATCCTACACAATGAAAGTAATATATCCATCCTACACAATGAAAGTAATATATCCATCCTACACAATGAACCTCATTTCCATCCTACACAATGAAAGTAATACACCTCATGTTCCTGGAACACCTCATTTCCATCCTACACAATGAAAGTAATATATCCATCCTACACAATGAAAGTAATATATCCATCCTACACAATGAAAGTAATATATCCATCCTACACAATGAAAGTAATATATCCATCCTACACAATGAAAGTAATACACCTCATGTTCCTGGAACACCTCATTTCCATCCTACACAATGAAAGTAATACACCTCATGTACCTGAAACACCTCATTAGAAGGAGGGAACACCTCATTTCCATCCTACACAATGATCACATGTTTTTATGGTGCCAATTGGCTGTTCTTTCACGTAAAAGCGTTGGCTGATGTTTGTAAAGATTTTTCTTGCTAATTGTGTTGTAATTTGCCTTAAGATTATGCATGACAATAGAGTTGAGTCTGCTAAAAGTCTTTTCAAGATTTTTTTTGCCTGAATCAATAACCATTTGCAGATAGATGATTGATATGTTGGGTGTGAGCAGGTTTTGTAAATAAAAAATGGGCCCAAAAGGTTTAGCTCCTTTACAG